ATTATATTATACTATACTATAATATATTGATAGAATAAACATTAAGGCCCCTTAATTCTTAAGCCAATTACTTCATTTTGGTTTCCAGCAAAGAAACAGCAAAATATTGCATCACAGGTAGACAGAAGCATTGTTATGTTTCATATTTGCATCTAGAGGAATCATAGCATTGCCTTTAAAAGCATGGACACTTGTGTTGTATTTCATGATGTCATCACTGGACTAAAACCTTGAAGCACATCAATCTCTAGTAACTTTGTAGAAAACAATGAGCTCACAAAGTTGAGCACAAAGAACACTCCAGAAGGATAGTAAAGAATAAAACCCAAACAACACAATGCAGTGTCAGATAAGCCAAAAGAAAATAGAGTTCCAAGAAAATAGAAATCGTTAATAATGTCAAGTTTTATTCTTGAAAGATACAATAAAATGAGGATTAAAATGTTCCTTGAGTATAATGACAGGAGACAATTGGTTTCTCTGGGGTGATGGGTAGAACTACCTGTGTTAAGGGGTAGGAAGGGAGGTAATGGAGATGGCAATATCTGTCTTTGAAGGACAGGAGAGAAGTTTCACTTATGTCTCCTGCTACATCTATACTATATGTGAGCAACATTTATGACTTTTATCTGTACAAGAAAGATAAATGTTTCATGGTAGCAGTTATCTTACTGTGACTTGACTTTTGAGGTCAATTAAAAGAGTCTCTTAAGAAGTCTCTCTATTTGAATCTGTAGCTAATTTTTTGTATATATATTTTTCAGGTATAGAGATCACAGATATCCCCCTAATCACGCAGAGAAATACTCTCATAATATGCAATTCTGGCACGTCCTTGCTGCCAAAATGACCTTCATCATAGTCATGGAGGTAAGCCCTTCTTAGCATTCATTCCAGTTAGTCTTTCTGCTCCCTTTAGCCATATATGTCTAAAGATATCTGCTTAGAAAAGAATTAGCATTATCTCAATAAATTGTTTTGATATATTTGTTGTCATAGAAAGCAATGTAGGGATATTTTCAGTATAATGAGTGCCTGTTATTCACTTACTAACTATCAAGGTGTCAGAAAAGAAAAAATATGGCTACATCCCTTGAGGGACAGGAAAAAGGCAGAGGACCCACTGATTTTACTGAATACCTTTACATATTGGTTGCAGTGGCTATAATAATAACCTTGTAAGTTAGACTTTATTATTATTTGCCCTTGTAAAATGACTCTGAGACTTATCAAAATAAGATATTTGGTTGAAAGATAATCAGCTAATATTAAACCTGGGTTTTGATGCCAGATGTCTCACTCCCAAGCCTCTGCTCTGTCCACTATATTATGTTTCTCCCTTGTGGAATTTCCAGTATAATTTTAGATATAAGACATGCAGTAAGAAAGAACAAATACAGAGGTGGTATTTGACTAAGACACAAATTGAGAGCTACAAATCGTAAGACATGAAAGCCAATAAGGGAGAGACAAGTCAATGTAAGGCACTTTTTTTACTCTACAGTGAATCTCAATAATGGAAAAGTCTAATGCAAGCACACACAAAGTCAAATCAGTTTTTCTTTTTATATATGTAAGTAATTTTTAAAAATCAAATAATTTTGCACAATAAAGAAAAGAGAGCAGTCTTATGTAGCATTCCTCCACATGTTACCCCTCCCCCTTTCTCTCTTTCTCTATCTTTTCTTTATCACTCTTTCATTCCTACATTTTTCATCACCTTTCAGTCTGGTAAATTGCATTAGGAATCTTTTGATATTTTTGTTTTTGTTTATTCATTATTCTTACTAATTTTTGCAATTATCACAGGCTCTGACTCATTGTCTTTTTGGGATTTCTCTTTACCTTCTCTTGTATTAATTACTATATTTTCTGCAATCTATGTTTCTCCCTTTTTTGGATTGATAGTTTATTTTAATGAAGTACATCTTTCAGTAATTTGCTGAGGAAAATTATGGGCCATCAATTTTTGAAAACTTGCATATTAAAAATATATTTTCTTTCATTATCGATGATTAATTGGTATGAAATTCAAGATTGAAAGTCATTTTCCCTAAAAAATGCTTAACTATCTTTATTTAGGTATCCTGAATTTTTCTTAAAGACATTGCTCTATTTTCTGTTAGTTTTTCCCTGGGTTGGAGCCAGTGTTGTTATGAAATGCAAATGCAAAACCATTCTGATTCCCTAGTCTTTATAAATTTTTTTGTTTTTTGTTTTTTGTGTTTTTTTTTTTTTTTTTAATCCTCAAGTCGAGGATATTTTTCCATTGTTTTTTTTTAGAGAGAGGGGAAGGGAGCGGGGGAAACAGAGAGAAACATTGATGTGAGAGAGACACATCGATTGGTTGCCTCCTGCCCAGGGCCAGGGAACCATTGCAAGTTTAAGTGCAAGCTTTCTCTACTCTGGAGTCTGTTATTACTATTCCCTCCCTTCTTTTTGTCTTTGTTGGTTATATCTTTTAAATTTTATTTTCAAGTATTTTATTAGGTTTTTAGGAGGGAGCATAGAAAAAAGAGTATATTCAATGACATGTTCAACCTCAATTTCTGTATTACATATTTTAGAATGTATTTATTTGTTTACTATTGGTCTTTGTAGGAAAGTTCCAGACAGGGGCCATATCTTCTTTATTTTCCTGGTACTTCCTACATTGAGCACAGTTTATTGAATGAATGAAATTATTTGTAAGAGCTTCCTGCTGAACATTTGACAATTCTAACAGTGTTGTTTTTTGTTTGTTTGTTTGTTTGTTTGTTTTTGTTTTGTTTTTAATGTTTTCTCTAGCATGTTGTGTTTTTAGTTAAATTTTTGTTGGCTTGGATGATCCCTGATGTTCCAAAAGATGTTCTGGAGAAAATTAAGCGAGAAAAGCTAATGACAGTCAAGATTCTCCATGACTTTGAGCTTAAGAAATTAAAAGAGAACTTGACATTTGATTCTAGTGAATTTGACAAGGAATTCATGATTCACGAAAACAAAGTATAGCTGGCTAAATCAACAATCTAGTCAACAAAATGAGTAAGCAGCTGGTAGCCTGACTGGCTTCACATTTTCCCTAGATTAGGGCCAGAGGCCAGAAGCCATGTGTCAATTTTATCCCTTCTCCTTTTTTAACTCAAATTTTTGTACACTTTTATAGAGGCCAACTTTGTGAGGTCAGAAGAATACCTTCTCTGCTCCATTGGCTGGGCCCTCCCTAGATATTGTTTTCTGGGATTCTATAAATGATTGTTAAAAGTGCATGTGGAATCAGAATATGGAAAATCATGGAATGTTGCAGTTTATAATCCAACACTGGACTAGGGCTGTCCCGTCACCTTCCAGTGCATCTGCACATTTTCATGGTCTTCTACTGGGTTGTTTCATATCACTTTCCCATCAAGAAAAATGTTGGGACAAAGAGAAAAGAAGTGAAGGGGCTTAAAAGGCCATATTTAACCTGCCATTTTAGACTATGCAAATGAAAAACCAAACTCAGATGACATAAGAAGACCCACATATTAAGTATATTGGGTAAATATCATGGCGAGAGTATGTTTCTGAAGTTGTCCTGAATAAGTGAAACTTTCATAAGAATCCCAGGTGGTCCTTCAGGTAAATGCAAAATTGCTTTTTCAAGAGACTGAACATTTGGGTTTCAACAAAAGACTAACAATTCAGTTGTTTAAAGATAACGTTTTGGTAAAAATAGTTTGAAGACTGGATTGTTTTATCTGGAAAAGAGTATTAAGAAGTTATTAGATTGTTTCAGGTCTTTGACTGAATGAAAGATATTTTAAAGCAGTAATGTCTTTTCTTTGTAGTTAAGAAATGCAAGACAATGTATATTGATTAATTTATTGACCTTAATATAAAAATGTTGAATTATTTTTAAAAAATTATTTGTCTTCTACAATGCCTTTTTTCATCATGAAGCTTGTTTGAGCATTAGCTATTTGTATGTTAGGCACAAGTTGTTTATGAAATTTGATTTTTTTGTTTAAAGTAATCTCAAATCTTTTAATGCATTTACAATCTTTTATATTGATTCATCCTTTTATACAATGTTCAGTGCCTTGCCCCTATGCCTTTGACACACAGTGGTATTGTTGGCTATTGATTTGATGTGATTTGACATCAATCACAGAGTTTAACACCAAAAATGGATCAACAAAATAAGAATGAGGTGGTAATTTGATAGGTAAATTTTTTTAAAAAATTGAATTATTACTCTCATACTTAGGTCTGTGGCACATATACACTCATTCTTATTTCCCTTAAAAATAAATGCCATATATATATATATACATATATATATGTATATATATATATATGGCATATATATTTTTTAACCTTATAAGTTGAGAGATACCAGTCAACTTGAATCTCTAGTTTTAAATTACACTTAAGTTCCAAAGGAATAGTGTTTTTTAATTGCACACAAAAGAAGAAACGTTATTGCAAAAAATTTCTAAGTGGTGTTTCATTATTTGATGCTAATATATTTTGTGGAATTGTCAGTATTAAGTATATGTCAGGTAGTATTAACCAATGATCAATATTAAGCATTTAGATCTGAGGATTATGAATTTTATAAAACTATGAGACAGTTATCCCAATATTGGCAGTAATAATTTGTCACCCACTAGGTAGATTTTTATGAATATTTTTGTGTAATTTGAAATTATCTCATTGTTGAAGCAAGATTTCACATGTGGAGGATATATATTTCTTGCGTGAGAAATCCAGTCAGTGTTACTATGAAGTAAGCCACAGATGCAGTATGTTTGACCTGTTAAATAAAACTGCATTACTACGGTGTTGTACATTGTGCACAGCTCATATTGTTCCTTCCTAGGTGTTAATAAAAATTAAAATATGGAAACTGGTTTCTTATGGTTTTAATTTTTGTGGCCTAACAATATTTATAGAGCTGGATTGTAAGAAAATAAAGACATATTTATCTCATAAGGTTGTCTGTACATTGCCATCCTAAACCAACTCAAGTGTTAGATTCCTAGGCTGTATGGAAGACAAGAGAGGAAATAGTAAATTTTAGCCTTTATGATTGGTTGGTATTTTTCTTTTAAAATATCTATAATAATAAAAGCTTAATATGCTAATTAGACCAGATGTCCCTCCGAACGACCTTCTGGATGAAGCCAGGGCTGTGAGGGAAGCCCAGGTCCTAGGTGCCTGCCGGCAGCCAGAGGGAAACCCGGGTCCCGGGTGCCAGAGGGAAGCTGGTGCCAGCAGCCAAGGGAAGGAAGGCCTACTCTTGCACGAATTTCGTGCATCAGGCCTCTAGTTGATAAATACTTTGTTTCATGTTTCAGTCTTCTACAAAGAGTTTCTCCTAGTTTTACAGATTTTAAAATGAAATATAAGTATATCCATCACTTTCATAAAAGTTCTCTAGTCCAAGTCCAAATCCAAATCCATTCATATAGATTTGTCTTATCTAATTAAACCTACTGGTTATTATGGGAGGGATGAATTAATAGCACATGGCTGTCAAATGTAAGTTGATTTTGATCAGCATGGCCAATGTGTTTATCATCCAATCAAACCCACAGTTACTTTTTTAGAAATGTTACAGGAAACATTTGAGATTTTATTTGAAATAATTTTAAATGCAAATGCTGAAAAATACATAACTCTTTTCAAATGTCATCTCTAATCCTTGCCTTCATCGGGTTTTCTTTGAACATAAGAAGCAGAATCCACTTCAAAATATTTATTTTAGAGTAATCCATCAAGAATGGAGTATCTTAATTAAATGGAATACTCTCTTATTTTTGCTGTATCTCATGACTCCTCCTGGATTTAATATTCTTCTTTTATCTAAGCCATTAAGCAAGTTATCAAGGAGAAGAAGGAAAGAAGATGATAAAGAGGAGAGGGACCTAGGAAGAAGAAGATAAAGGAGTTCTGTCCTTATGAAACTGCATGTTTCCATGGGGAGAGAGTTGTTTGTGTAAGGTGCAGCTGTTGGTGGGGGGTGCTAAAAGGAAGGTCTCTTTCCTTAGCCATCTAATGAGGATGAGAGAAAAACCAAAGAAATTTCAAGTTGGAAACTATTATGTGTCAAAAGTAAAACTGATTTACTGTAATTATTCTGTTACTTTTTTCTAAACAACTTATTACTCTTTTCCTTTATGTGTAACAATTTAAGTATGTCATTTATTCCAGCATTATGTAAAAATTCATG